TTACGATTGCTTAAAAATCTATTTTTATCACTAGTTGTGAAATTTAAAAGTTTCAAAAGTTGTAATAGATCTAGCATATTAATAAACTCTTGAAAACCTTAAAATCAGGTAGTCTAGATAACTTATTATACGATGCACTTTTTTTTTACATGAAACACTCTTTTAATCCTTATATCCATCCAAATCGAGATAATCAATTAGAGAGTTCTCCAAACACTCTCCAGAAGGATTTTAGATGTGCTCCATACTTCAATGATATAAGGTCGCAACCTCGTATAAATGTTTTCCAAAACAAAATTATAATTGACATACTTGTGTTAGTGTTTGAGATTAATATATTATTCATTTGATTATATTATACTACAATAGAGTAAAATAGAAAGGACACGGTTTTTGAGTCCATACAGAAATGAGTCGACTCTTAAAAATCTATTTTTGAGTGGATTTTCGGATCCAAATTTTAAGAACATGTAATCTCTAACATAGAGATCATGAATATAATAAATAAATAAATTTTAAAAAATAAAAATAATGATTTTATGAAGAAAACATTTAGATCGTCAGTTTCAATTTGGATGCTTTATACCTTGGGACGGCATGCTGTAAAAATACAGTCCAGCCCGCATGAAACAATTTTTCAAAATAGAATGTCTTATGTTTATTTACGAATATGCAATATATATTACTCTATAAAATACGTAACAAAAATGATGAGTATACCTATAGTCAAATAATATCTATATTAATAAATATACCAATCGTTCAAACGAATAATGAAACTCATTATTTTAAATTACAAATAATAATTTATTTCTTAATAATATTATTAATATTATAGTAATAAAAAAATATCAATAATATTGTTATAAAAATGAAATAGTATATATTGATAATTAATGTCACAATAATATAGTAATATGCAGGGAAAGTGTTGAAACCCCTTAAAATATCACCAAAGGGGTCAACTGAACACAATTTATATTGGAAGGTTTGCTTTAAATTTCCATTTCAACATGCTACGTCCTAAAAAAAATCATTCCCAAACTACCTTTGCTCGGTCCCACGAGACACTTAAGAATTGGGGATGCTTTGGTAAATTTTTACCCACAAAAGGGGTATTTTTGTCTTTCTTGTAAGGTCACCATGGGGTAAATTACCAGAATGTCCCTAATTGTTGGGCTTCACAATCATAAACAAGGGAAATTTGAAAACTTTAATTTTTATTTTTTAGATGTATTTAATTGAAAAAAATTTAAAAGCAAACCGCCAAATATAAATTATGATTGTTTTAACCTCTTAATTAATATTTTCTTCAATAAGTATGATAATAGAAACAACAGCAACATGCGATTTCCATTCAGAAGTTAACCAAACAATCATATCCAGATAACTGGGGTTGAGCATAACTAAGGTTTGGCATGATTAGGTTATGATTCAAAACCTGGATTTGTATGCTCGGGAACCAAACGAACCATTAAGGTGCGTGTATATGAAGTAGATTATCTGTGTAATAGATGCGATTCCATTATAGGTGCGGTGTACATAAGCATCAATCTTAAACAAGCAAGCAAAGGCGCACTCCTAAAATTCTATCGATATATGTAGTTTCGGTGCAAGGAATTCTTGATATGGCCTAAAAATCTGTTCTTTGCTAATTATACAATTTAAAGCTCGAAAAATAGTTTAGATCAAGCAGATCCACATGTACTTAATTTAATTTTTTTTAAAAAAGACGGTTTGATAATGTGTTGCAAGATGCAACATTTTTAGGATTTGAAAGCCTTTTTTTTCTTTTTTTTCATGCCTCCGATGTCGAAATGATCAATTTGAGACTTTTTTTAGTATTAAGAGAAATTTTTTTGATTGGTTTTTGAGGGGTATCTTACTTTTGCTTGATGCCTTATATAAACTTTCCCCTGGAGCTTGCTTGCAAGGCATGCAGGTATGCATGGATGATGGTGGTTTCCAGCACAAGTGCTGGTGCTTTCTATGGGAACTTCACAAAATCACCATATAATGGAAAATTCTGGACTATGGTCGAGTGTATTTTTTTCTTATTTGTTTTAGAGTTCATCCATGGCTAGAGGCCCACAGAGCGAGTCTGGTAAAGATCATTTTCTGACTTTGGCGAACATCAAACAATATTTTGTAAGAGACCTGAAAGAAAGATGCATTGTCAAAGTATTTAGATTACCTGGTGCGTCTCTCAGAGATTAAAAAATTTTATTCTATCGTTATTTATTTTATTTTTTATTTTTTTAAGTTCTACCCTTCTCAATATCGTGTAATTGTTATTATTGCGGGTAGGTTTTTTTTTTTATTTTTTTTGTAGTTTTTTCTTTCTCATTTTTGCTAATTTGAAAATATCTTTCTCACTATGTTTTGTTCTCGGTTTACTGTATAGATTATTATACAACTTAGCTTTAGCCTTATTGTTTGTTTAGTATTTTTCTTAGTATTTGTATTATTTAATTGTGTAATTATTATTATTATTATTACAGGTAGGATTTTTAATTTATTTTTTTTTGTAGTTTTTTCATTTCCAGTTTTGCTAATTTGAGGACATTTTTTTCACTATTTCTTGTTCCCAGTTTACTGTATAGATTCTTATACAACTTAGCTTTAGCCTTATTGTTTGTTTAATATTTTTTTTAGCATTTATATTATTTAAGCTTTCTAATTTTTGCTGATTTGAAGACATCTTTTTCACTATTTCTTGTTCCCAGTTTATTGCATATATTATTATACACCTTAAGTTTAGCCTTACTGATTGTTTAACATTTTTTTTAGCATTTATATATTTCTAAGTTTTGATCATTTTATTACATTGACAAGTTTAATAATATGATTTTTTTTTGCTAATGGCTTTCTGAATCTCATTATTGCACTATTAGGTTTTCTTATTGAAATTTCTTTTCCCTTTTAGTTTCTCATAAAACTTATTTTACCACTTATTTAATACAATCAGATATCTCATTTCACATAATATTGGCCCCATATTCAGAGTTCTATTTTCCTTCTTTAGCGAATTTATCCCTAAATAAGTCTATTTTCTAATTTTTCAAATTCCACCATCTAGTTCTTACACCATATTAATTTTACCCATTATCTTTCTAATTTTTCAAATTCCACCATCTTGTTCTTACACCATATTAATTTTACCCATTCTCTTCCATCTTTATATACAGACTTATATAACCACGAGTCTATATTGTGTAGTCAAATTCTCTCATAGGATAACCTTTATAGTCATTATATGATGGTGGCTCTACATTATTAACTAAGAAGAAGTTTATTTGGTTATATGATCCACTTTTATCGTTATTAAATATTCACATCACTTTTTAAAGTAATTGTTTGTTTGCTAGGATAACCTTTATAGTCTTTATATGATGGTGGATCTACATTCTTACCTAAAAGAAGTTTATCCGGCTATATGATCCATTCTTAGATGTTATTACATATTCATCTCACTTTTTAAATCAAGTGTTTGTTTGCTATGTCATAGGCCATAGCAAAAACTAAAATAGCCTCATCTATCTAATTTCTTTCACCAAACCCATATTCCCCCACATCTTCTACTACCATTTTCTACATGACCATTTCAGTCCCCTCCTTAAAAGGTCCTCTCTCCATTTGATATGTCTTGAACTAATCCATCTATGTCCTCTTAAAATTTTCTCTTAATTATATCCTCTAGTCCTAATTGTGGTGCATAAACACTCATTACATTAATTATCTCTTCCCCTAATACAAATTCAATTAATAAGAGCATATCACTCACTCTCCTGACATTAATTATTTTATCTTTTAAATATTGATTTATTATATAAGAAAAAATTTATATAAGTGCGAGGATCTAAACAATCAAATTAGGGCGCACCTTTTGATTAGAAGAAGTTGTTTTGATGCTTGAATATCCTCAAATTGATCATCTCGACTGCAAGATACATGGACATGAAAAAAAAATGGATTTCAAGTTTCAAAAATAATACATCTTGTAATGCATTTTGTACTGTCAATTTTTACAATTTTCAAGTTTTCATAGATCTGCTCAATCTACAATTTTTTTGAAACTTTAAATTTTATAATTAGAGATAAAATATATTTTAAGGCTACTACAAAGATTTTCAGTATTGAAACCACATCTTTCAGCACTATTTGAAGGTGTGCTGAACTTTGTTTAGAGCGTTGGTTCTATACAAACCACATCCATTTGAAGGTGTGCTTTGCTTGTTTAAAGTGTTGGTTCTATACAAACCGCACCCATTATTATATGCCTACACCATTTCTATTATTATTATCGTCCAATGATAGAGTAGAATGCCTGACCGCGATTTGTATAGCCGACTTCAAATAGTTTGAAAAAAAACTCAAAACGCTTTTTTTATAGTTCTTTACAAGTGAGGAATAAATAACTACATTTTAAAATTACCAAATAAAAGAGTCCTTATTCTCATTTCCAGAGAAACAACTGGGCCAGGAGGCAAACAAATGGTGAGAGCTCAGTTGGGTTTACGGATGTTTTTGCAGCTAGCCCAAGAAATCGATCCCTCTTGACTCATGGGCATACAAGCTCAAAGGCAGAGCTACAACAATATTTGTAACTTCTATCCTTATTTTTTCCCTATTTCTTGGTTACTAATCTCCAGGACATGGGAAGTTCGAAGTTTTAATATTGCTTGAACCTGCTTTTGACCACTTACAAGGAGATCATTTATCTTTGTTATAAAGAGATCACAATTGCTAACAAACCATTATATGTCAATTTGGATAAGACACAAAGTTTGATAAGTTCCTTTTTTGAACTTTAAGTCTAATCAATGACACTTCACAATCACCCAATTTGGAATCTCATGGACAATAGATCTCTTTTTATACTTTTCCTTCTTTTTTTTGCTTTCTGATTTTCTTTTCCTATTCAAGTGGCTCGGGGCTAGGATTCCAACTTGGGATACAGTTGCAATGTCAACACCTTAATTAAGCACAAGCCCAAATCCTATCCTAAATAAGAGCCAACCATGTATATAGCGATAAACAATAGTCAATCATATAATTCCAAGACTGAAGATCCATTTAGAGATACATGATACTGGAAAGCCTGTCATCCCCTTATCAAACATATGCTAATAACATCCTCATAAACCTGTTTCTCATCTAATTTAAGACCACTGATAACCCAATAAGGCCGACATGCAGGACTTGCAACGCTGATGTAACTTCCTTGCAGGAAACAAATCATTACTGATTCCTATTATAAGAACACTAAAGAGATTGTAAATGAATAAGCAGCATATCATCCAGTTTATCATAATGTAAAGAGATTAGCTTACTACTAATATGCTGATTCCTTGGAGAGCTCTCCACCATGTCGCCCTCGCCAAAACTAGTTAGAAAAATGAAAGGAGGAGAAATAATCGCTGGATAACCATTACTGCTCTCCTGGAAGCATTGTGTCTTCTGGCAGATCACAAAATGCATTACCCTGTGAAACATGAGGTTCTCGCAATTAGTGCTACACATTAAAAACCAAAAATAAAGAAAAAATAATCCTGAACTGATATGCTTCAACAATTTTACTACTATAGAGTTGCAGTGTAGCTCTTCTTATTCTTCTTTTAAGAGAAGAGATTATGTAAAGGTAGCCATTTTCATTTACCTCTCCAGTTAGATGTGCCACACATCTTTTCTCAGCCACGAGTTCAGCTTCACTCTATTACAAAAATGGAAAGATTCAAAATTATCAGAACTAAGCTCACCACATGAAAAATCTGAAAGTTGTTTTAATGCATGTTGCATATTGAAAGAGAGGAGGAGACCTTTTTTATACGTTCACGGAGGAAGTCATCAATAATTATGTCCGGGACTAGCTCATACTCACCATTTCCCTAAATGACACGCATCAAGGTTAGGATATTAGGGTCCTTTTTTGGTAAGAAATTCTGAGATTGAACATATCCATGAAAGAACAATTTCAATAAAATTTACCTCTGATCTGCAAGGCATGCTGAATACAATATCTTCTGCAATGCCATATGGGTTTCCATTTGTGTAAACCTAGGTTTCCAACATAGAATCAATTTGAACTTCTTAGTATGATGTTTACTAGAACAGTTATACAAAGTTTTTACAGTGTTTCTCTCTCTATTTTGTATTTCTCTTTTAAGAGATTCTCACACTCTTAAAGTTTGTTATTATTTAGAATTGATCATCAAAATTGAGGGCAAGGTTATCCAAGGTGGAAAAAAGAAAATCCTACGATCAAAAAAACAATTAGACATTTTTGTTTGATTTTATAATTTCCACACAGTATTATGTTTAATTCAAAGTTTCAGCTTTATTGTGACAGATATATCAACGTGCATGTCACTCATATCTTGTCCAGACAGTACATTTCCAATTTTACTATTTGTTGGAAACGCTAGGGCAATGACTTTGAGTAGTTGGGCATAGGCGAGGATATATTTGAAGAGGTAAGATGAAGTGGCAGATCATGAACAACAGAGTAACAAGAGAAGAAAATGATGAAGATTGCTGCATACAGATTGCGTCTAGTAGATGGTAAATAATTTGAACCTACTGCTGGACATCACATAACACAATTGTTTCTCCAGATGATACAAACATCAGCAGTTGCAGTTTATAAATTAACTTGTCAAGATTGAGATGCAATGAAGAGTTCAAAATGCACTATCTGTGACATGCCTTTAACTTCAATTAGTCAATAGCGTGACCTATCCGTGTCATAAAATAATTATCCATGAATTCTTAAAATTATGTTATATCTTGTCCATAAAATAATAATTCGTGAATTTCTAAAATTATATTATTTTTTGTTATGATAGGCTCAAAAGGACATGGTTTGAAGTAGTGAAAAAATACATGAGGACATATGGCCTCACTAAGGGTATGGCTCTTGATAAAGTAAAATGGCGGACCAAGATTCTTGTAGCTGACCTCAAATAGTTGGGAAAAATATTTGATAATGATAATAATGATGATGATGATGCTTATTTCTTGTTTAGTTTAAGACAGTTTTCATTCACTCGTTCAATGAACTCATTGTATTACAAAAACTTATGTTATGGTAGCCTATCAAATTGTTAATCCGCTAAATATATATCTGTATCAAATTTACATGATTGGTTGGCCAGAAATATAGAATTCTAGGTTTCACTTTAAGCAGATGCAATCTAGTAGAGGATTTCGTAATTCTTCTATCCTATGAATTAGTATACATATCCATCATTTCTAACCTTTTCATTATCCTTTTTCTCATGGCAAAACTTTCTGTGTGGCATCAACCACAAACAATTTATGTGGCTGGGAGCTGGATGGCTGTGATATCTCATGTGATAATGTCACAAAAGAAAAAAAAAGAGGGGGCGGGGGGGGGGGGGGGGTGGGGAGGCAGGGTAGCTAACGGCTAAGAGCAGGTAAGCCATCCCATCAAAATTTGAAACACCCTCCCCTTTTCTCCCATCCAAAATCCCAAAAACGAACTCGATTACAACCCCTTTTCTCTTTCCTCTGCAACCCAATTCCCCCAGAAGACCCACCCCATTGTGTTTCCCTCCCATATTCTCTCTTTTATCTTGCTAAAGACCCCTAGGTCTGGTTTGAATCAGTCAGACTGAGCCATCATAGCACATTCGGTAAGGAGTAATGCGTCATGCCTTGCCAATTGTCTTATTCATCCAACATATGAAGTGAGGGATCTCACATCCCCTTGTAATGAATTATCTATGGTTGGCGCCACATAGAAAGTCTCCCCTTTTCTTAGTTTGCCCTATCTTCATATGCCTTTTCCTATTTTTCTACATTTTCACAATTTTCATTTGCAACTTACATAGTGAACACTGAATACAATTCTTCTGCACACCCTTCAGGACTTGGTTGACTCGTTGCCCTTGTCTAAAAGCCAACTGGGCCCACTATGTGGGTGAGCCAAATACCAAGTCCTCAATTTATGGATATTGAAGATACCAAGGTACAAGATGTTCTCCATTCATCTTATGCTTCATATGAATACAAAATAATGTATCTTCATCTATATCTTCAACACTACAGAAGAGGAACCTTATGCACTGCAGTCTACTTTAGCGAATCACTAATTCTAGAGATCATATTGTGGTAGAACCCATAGTAGATGCAAACAAGGTCTTTTATGCATTTGCATGGCTAGGTGTTGGATCTCTATTTCCCCTTTCTCTTCTTCCTACATTTCCTCGTTCATGAGCTCTCTTACTTGAACATGAGGACATGTGTGAAACTTAGCCAGGCACAAATCGCCTCTTTGGGACCATACCAGAAACAAAAGGTGTTGTATGTATTTGCAGGGTTAGGTGATGGATCTCTATTTCCCCCTTCTCTTCTCCCTACATTTCCTCGTTTATGAGCCCTCTAATTTCACATTAGGCCATATATGAAATTTAGCAAGCCACAGATCACCTCTTTGGTTCCACACCAGAAGCTTCCTATGACACTGTTCATCCTTGAACATGTCATTATGGCTGTCTATGGCTCCGCTTGTGGTGATTGAAAGTCAGGGATACATCCACCTAGTGTTCCTGGTAAGGTTCTTGTTATTCCCCAGCAATATCCGGTCAGAATTCAATGCCATCACTGGGCCAATATCTGTTACATGATCTTCCAATGGTGCCTACTACGGATCTGAAGCAGTCTCTATATGGATATTTCCTTTGACATTCTAATGGTATCAATTAAGAAATCTTTGACACCTCTCCTCCATGAGCTTCCTGAGCTATCCCACTTTTATTTGGAAACTCGGATTTCCAGTCATATTTTTCTTTACTTCGACACAACAGCAAAAGGTCACTATGAAATAAATCATAATGATATAGGTTTGCTCTTATTTGCGAGAAAATCATATCCACTAACCTTTGGAAAATAAAATAAAATAAAAAAATCCAGTACTAAATACCAATAGCCTTCAATGTAATGCGAAAGAGCAATAGAGAAAGGACCTACTTACAGAGTCAATGATCAATGACATAATTTTTATTACCTATCAGGAACTCTATCATAGATACAGATTCCCAAGTTCGAGAAGGTATCTTAACAACAACAATATGACTTTCAGTTATTTACCAACTTTATTAATTCCTGTATTCCTTCTATGCCCAAGGGATGCCTTACCAGTTTGTTCACAATGTAACATGTATCTCTGTATATGTTCAAGGTATTCCTTCCTCTTCCTTCCTCCTCATTCACTAACAAAAGTTACCACCATTTTTTTAAGTTTGTGCTTATATTAGTAATGAAGTACGGTAAATGTACAAAACTCCTTGGGCATGCTTTATCCTGATTTTATTCAATTTCATGAAACAAAACATAATAGTCATGATGCAAAAGGAGTCCAGGAAATTAAATACGGTCCTCTTTTGATCTTAACAAGTAAAAATTTCAACAATAATGGAGGAATAATGTGGCTGTAAATCAAGCCATGGGAAGAAAAAATACTATTTCTGTTTCTTCATTCATAAAAAAATCTCTACAAACTATCCCTTTCCAAACTTTCCTATTTTCTCTCGTAGATCCTCTTGTATAGAAAACTTTCTACCCCTAACGTGATCAACGCTCTCCATATTGGGTTTATGTGAGCTTTAAAGGCTTTATGAGTGTGTATTGAAATACTTTTAAAGTGAAACATAAACTCAATGGGAGTGTGGTCCCTCGAGGACCATACTAAACAAATAATGTTTGCTTATACCGGACTGTGCTTATCAATCTAGGCCAGACGGTTGAAAAACCCAAGATACCTGGGCATAAATAATTAACCAAGGAGGGTTTTGGGTTAGGTCTTGATGACGTCGGAGCTTATGCCTAGATGAGTGAGCCGAGGGACTGTGTGACCCCTCTGTGTGATGGTACGCCTGCTGAGACGGGGGCCAAAACCTCATCCATGTTCCATCATACGGCATGCGTATTGATAGATCGTTCGGGAAAGCCAAATATCCACCTTTGGGTGAAGCGTATGTATGTTCGAGAGATACCCCTATGCGCCATAGAACTGTGGTCGCATCAGGTCGTGTTGACCTTGACTCGTCTCTAGGGGAGGACCTGTAATCCACAGACTGGGATTGCTACCTATTGATTCATTGACCTGACTTTGGTGACTTGCTAATGAGGCCCTGCTTGGACTGTGGGTTATGAAAAATACTGGATCGGTTCGATAAAGCTAGTGTGGTCTGTAGTCCACAGTTGAAGGTGGAGTACCCCGTTATTACAGATTGGATTCCTAAAACCATATGGATCCTTTTCCTATTATATTAATTTAATTGTGCTCATTTTATCATTGAAATGATTTTAGTTTTATTATTTGAATTTTTATGAATCTCTCAATATTTTATTTGTAATTTTTGGACTTATAAAAATACAGTTATTGTTCTTACAAAGTTATAAAAAATTCAACTATATATTTTAAATTGTTTTATTCAATTTTAAAAATGACATTTTTTTTATAAAATTCCGTGGGGCCCATAGTACACATAGGCCCACCATGTGGCATGTGGGTGGGGGCCCACATGTGCCACAAAAGGGTGGCACGCCCCACCCTCTGTGGATTCTCTTGTTTGCTTTTAAGATAAGGTTAGTTTGATTTGTGGCATGCGGTCAAATCTTGGAAGGGATATATTGACCATGGCTTTATCTATGTTGTAGCAAGTTTGTTTTAAAGAGATATGGTCAATTTGAATTGATATGGATCTTATCTTATTTATATTTGGTAGTATTTATCTACTTGATATTATTTGACATATCCTTATAGAATATGTGACATGGATCGTGCAATTTTATAGAATGCATGATATTTATTTTATTTAAATATATTGATGGGAATGTAGTTTAAGGAAGGGGGATAATGGTCCAAGCACCTTCCATAATGTTGATGACCCATCTATGGAATGGATGGCTCAGATATCTCACCCCACAAGTCACCTTGATCAACGGTCTAAATTCAATCTTATGAAAGAGGCAAACTATGGGAAAATCCTAAAAAACCCTAAACCTAAATATTCACTATAAATAGGGGTGCT